AAGGGGTATTCCGCATTTTTTGTAAAAAAGTATCCATTATCAAAAACGACGTAAATTATTCCTAAAAATATTTCTAAAGTATGCTATTTATATCTATGTATATTCTTGATCAATCTGAATTTGTTTTAAAGGGGCTTAATAAAAACGGAAAGTAGTAATAATTGTTAATTAAGTAGTTTAATCCTAGTTTTGGTGTTTGGCTTGATAAAAGTTCGATACTATTAGTTAAATAGGAGACATATTTCTCTACACTTAGGCGTACAGCGCCATTATTTTAGTTAAAATTAAAAAACTTTGTGTTAAAGGACACATTTCTCTAGATTTTGTTGTATAGTTTTCACACAAAACAAGATATATAGCATTGCTTAAATGATTTTAAATTAAGATCACTCCACACTACATCCGACAGAACTGCCGCTACCCCACTGTTTGATACACGACTTAATTGCGACATAGAAAGGAAGTTACCACACTTTTGTAGATAATTTAAGAATGACAAGAATGAATGCTGTTTTATCTTTAACTAATGACCTAAAAGCTACATTATGACTTCTTTGAATATTTCGTTACCTATAAAAATGTATTCGTATTTTGTGAATATCTCGTATATTATATTAACTTAGCATTTAATGTATTTTTAATTTGTGTCCCTTAATGAACAAATTAAAAAATATAGTGCAAGTTTCTGGTTTATTTGAAAATTTCCGTTTAATGTATATGTCATTTTGAAGAGAGAACGATATAAATCCAACCAAATCTATCCGTTGTTTTAATCTTGCGAAGCTAATGGAATGGAAAGAAACGTTATCACAATTAAATTACATCGTGTCATTTTCCATTAAGAAAGAAACGTGTTAAAATGTTTGATATTATTTTTATGATTTATAATTCCAGATGAAAGATAGATCAGTTAGTTTTGATGTTCGAAGTGATTTATCAGGGGAGACAACTGCTAGTGATAGTGGTCGTGGTGGCAGTGAAGATGATGTACCCCAGAAGAGTAAGTATGATTCAAACGTAACAATGCTCTTCTAGAGAACGAGAAAGTAATGGTCCCCACCATAATATAGTCATTTTTCGTTTTATGCTTTCCAGTTCCAAAGTGGTATGAATCAGTACTGCCAGTTTGATTTGGCAGAATAGATACTATTTAGCAACGACTTCTGAATAGTTCAACCATTTCAAAATGTTTTGCAAATTAAACCATTTCAAATGAAATCATGATTATTCATCATACTTATTATTGTGCTTTCGTTTAAAAAAAATACCATCTCCAGCCAATTGTCATAGCATACATGTCTAGAAAGCTTAAATCATCTAATAATAGAAAAGTCTACAACTTATTATACATTTGCACAGTTATGTAAGAATGGCTGGCTAGGAAATAGTCCGTCGGTTGTAAACTTATACTATTCCTGTTGTAATTATCTTTGGTTATTACGTGATCTCTTACATTGCTTGATCCCGGAAGCCGCCATAATGCCATGTTTCCATCAATATTGACATTTTCTGTAATATTTTAGCACCGGTTATGTAAGCTCTCTTGTCTGATCTACCCAAGTAGATATTTATATGATCACGCTATACCGCCATGACTAAATTGATTTTATATGAGGTAATTATACATTGACCAGGATAGGAAAACTTTCATTAAGCTAATTAGTAATCTATGGAGCGTTGCCATGATTCGATTAGGGACCTATATTCCATACCATTATCTCTAACAGTACTTTTATTCAATCCTCTCGTTCAAAAATGATACTTAGTCCTGTGATAGTTCACTTGTATTGTGCAAGTCTGAAGAGTTAACAAGATACTGTCCAGAAGGTCTCTGGTGGCTCGATTATATTCATCAATCGACTCCCAAGCAGTTTACAGCACGCAACTGTATCTCTTCACAATATGAATGGCAAGACTATGAACTTGAACTATAATCTAAAATTATTCCTTTAACACAAATTTAAAATTCAACGGTACAAGTTCATCATTTATAATATACTGCTTTTTTTATTTTTCAGGGGGAAATATGGGTTATTTAAAGTGTCCTTCAACCGGAAGTGATGACGAAGTACCAGAATCTTTCAATTCACGATCACTCGGACCAAACGTGCAGCGTGTATCACCAATTGTGAAAGAGGACTGTATTCAAATGACTCATTTGAGTAACCCAGCACACAAGGATTTAAAACCGCGTAAAGATCCGTACAGGAAGTTTACCGGATATCGTGATCCCAGTCACCATAATAACACTTATCAGTCATATCAAAGTCCCAACTCTCGGGAGTGGCTACATCCCAGACCACACAGTGGCAAGTCACTCTCCCCATCATACAATAGTTTACCCAGAAGTCCCGATGATGATGAATGTTCAACAACTTCCGGTAGTTACACTGTGATGTCAGATGACGTAGATGTAACATGTGAACGTTGAAATGCGAAGTATGTTGTGGGAAATTTACTTCAAAGTGATGTTGCTCAATTCAAAGCGTAACTAGCCCTAAAACTGTGTCCTTTGAAACGAGATAGTGGCATATTTGACATCTTTGAGATAAAGAATTTGACTGAAATCACTTCTGTGTTAAGATATTTTTGGTGGTGTTACCTTCGCGTCATTTAACCTTGAATGAATAGAGCAAGTAAAAAACGACAAAAATGTGACAGGAGTAAACATATCTAGTGATCTATTGACAGTATCGAAAACATGTATGGATCGCCTTTGACACCTTGTTATATTTACTTGTCAATCATTCTATTTGTTTTGAACAAATGACATCATATCAATGAAATGTGCTCAAGAGAAGATTAAATTCTTATCAACGTTTTCATATTTGTCCATAACAATATTTTCGTTATATTTTCAAACATTTTTGTGTCGATAAGGCTACTGTGCCAATAAATTTGACATCGTGCCATTTGTCCACAAGAATGTTTCCTTTCATTTGCAAACCTTTTTTGTAAAGATAAGGCGCTGTGTGACATCATGTTTACTGCGTGCCAATGATATTTAGTGGTTTGCACGCATCACTTGATTTTCCCAATTTCTTTATTTTTATATTCCAAAAAGCATGCGTTTTTTATTGTAAGTATTTATTCCTATGGTTCTGGCTTTAAGGTTTTAATACCGTGTTCAAATATTACAAGTATATACCAGTTGATACTGCCCGCACCGTAAAAAGTCTGTCTGATGAAACTAAATATTACTTTGCTCGAAGGTGTAGGAATTAATTCAAGATGAATTGAAAGCTATACTTTGAAATCGAATGAATATGTATTTTTTTCTGCTGTATGTGGTATGTTTTTGTAGGGCACCAATCGTAATGTCATAAGATTTTCCGGGTGCTTGAGTAGCCTATATTCAAAAGCGACACCCACCATAATATTCATTATAGTGGAGCTAGCTCAATAAACCAACGACTTGCATAACACAGTGATCATCTGACATACTTTACCAAGAACATCTTTAGATGCACATGGATTTTGATTACTAAACTTAAGTCCACCGTTATAATTATAATAAGTTATTATTATTGAATTTTGGATGTGCCATTAAATATACAAATGGTTTTAAGGTATGAAATAAACTGAAACAGTCTTTTGAATTATTTTCGTGTAAACAGGTTCATTGTTTAGGTTATAATACTTACTAGAAATAGACAAAACAAACTTCTAGAGAACTCCAGCTGAATATTCATTTGTTTTGTGTACATTATTAAACATTTTCCATTGTTATTACCATTTACTATATAAATTGAAGGGGTGTTTTATATTTGTGTGTTATTTGTGTGCCAAACTATCTTTTGCATTTATAAGACAATTTTACTTTAATGAAAGTGAAATATTATAGCTTTGCATTGTCGGCATCAAACTGCAATGAGATTGTGTTCAAAAGAACTCCATACTGTGGGATGCTTGTATACGCATTAAGTTTTGTATGTGTATAAGGACCACTTATGCCATAGCAACAATTTTTTTCGGCGTCAGTCCTTTTTTCGAACATTACCTAGACCAGATTATCACATAATTGCAAAAAAAAAACAAACAAAATAGTTGGCTTTAAAAGAATTTGATTATTGGCGTCAATATATCTTGAACCACACGAGAATTCGAAATGGAAGCTTTTAGTTACTCCGATAAGCATACTTCGTATTTGAATTGTCGATATTTGGACTGAATTTTCTCTACCTTACTTTGTCAAATATTGATGCAGTGATTTTGTCTATTGTTTTATACTTGTGCTATATATGGGGAGTGTGAAAGTGTTTTTTCTCCAGTGTTTCTATTTTTGCTATTTATTAATACATTCCATTTCCTAATGTATAAAAATAAACTATCTTTAAACTATTGCTTTTATATTTCTCCATTACCTAGATAGATGCCAGACATATATGGAAAGACTTTCTGACATGGTAAACTGTATACAATTCTATGGGAAATCTAATGTGGATTACTTACCCCTGTCTGTTCCGATCCGATGAGGAAATGAACGTAGAAAATTATAACAGAGTATTATTTGTTGGTGATCAGCGGTAGACTTACTGTCTGTTGCCTTGTAAACGCATTGGTAATGGACTGCGAGAAAGCATTGGTGTCTATTAGCAAGTACCCACAACAACTAATCACTTAATGGTTAACAGCATCTGAATCACTCCACTGAAATATCCCTTCATATAGCAAGCGGGGTGGCATGAATTAGTCTTTGTCTTTATCTACAACCATTTGTCGTTCTTTAAGAATGGTTATATACTCTGACACACTATAATAGGAATGGTATAAGAGTTCAATCCCTTTGTCTTTCTCTGTTATCTGATATGATATAATTGTGCTTTATTGAATCCAATAGCTGTTACTCCCATGCTTTGAATTAACTCTCTTATTCTGATACATAAAACTTGCCCTATGCGGCTAATGTCTTTCCAACAGTACATATAAACAACTGTCATAAATATAACATCCTCACTTCTCACATTGAATACCGTAACATAAAAGGTGGGATAATGAAGATGGGTAGAATACCGCATAACATGAAAGGTGGGATAATGAAGATGGGTAGAATACCGTATAACATGAAAGGTGGGATAATGAAGATGAGTAGAATACCGTGTAACATGAAAAGTGGGATAATGAAGATGGGTAGAATACTGCATAACATGAAAGGTTGGATAATGAAGATGGGTAGAGTACCGCATAACATGAAAGGTGGGATAATGAAGATGGATAGAATACCGTATAACATGAAAGGTGGGATAATGAAGATGGGTAGAATACCGCATAACATGAAAGGTCGGATAATGAAAATGGATAGAATATCGTATAACATGAAAAGTGGGATAATGAAGATGGGTAGAATACCGTATAACATGAAAGGTGGGATAATGAAGATGGGTAGAATACCGCATAACATGAAAGGTGGGATAATGAAGATGGGTAGAATACGGTATAACATGAAAGGTGGGATAATGCAGATTGGTAGAATACCGTATAACATGAAAGGTGGGATAATGAAGATGGGTAGAATACCGTAACATGAAAGGTGGGAAAATGAAGATGGGTAGAATACCGTAACATGAAAGGTGAGATAATGAAGATGGGTAGAATACCGTAACATGAAAGATGGGATAATGAAGATGGGTAGAATACTGCAACATGGGAAACATCAGCATCCATTTAACAATAAATTATGGGTTATAAGGTAGAGGTGGAACTATACGTGATATCTTGAGTGAATGCTATTTTCTATGCATGGAACTGAACAAACGATAGAATGGAAAATGGAATAAATTTATGTTGTCTATGTCTATGATAGACAATGATGTATATTCTCTGCAGGTTTAATGTTGGATCTCAAATTTAAGCCACTTAGTATTCACAACGCCCAATATCACACGAATCAGCAATAATTTGATTTAACAATATTTGCACCATTGCGCAATGTAATTAGATGTGCAACCCCCATGAAATAAATCCACGTCAGACAATGATAGTATTTCGCTAATCAAATCCTAAAGGCATTTAACGATGAACAAATATGAGAAATGAACCGATAAAATCAATTAACCAAAACTCCCATGAATGTCTTTAGCACTAAAATTCGCAATGGTAACCATGCGAATAACACTTCATAAACTCAGAGAATTTTAAAACAAAGAACCGATTTGTCAACACAAAGTATTGCATGCAAAACAAATAATATATTTACTGTTCGAATCTGCAGTATGGATAGATAAATTTGTGCACGCAGGAATTGCAGAATCCTGTATATTTCAGTACTAAGAGATTTCTTACCGGTATATTTGAATTTTTTTTTTTATACATTTGAAATAATTCTTATTTGAAAATTTGAACGCATGTACTATATTTCTTCCTCAATTTTAGGAAGCAAAGATATATCTATATTTAGTTAGCCAGTATCCTAAGCCAGTGCCTGAATGATTCCGAATAACTGTGAAGTCTTATTTGTCCAGTAGAAAAACGTTAAATCAGTCCTAATAATGCCTTGATCATAAATGTCAAAGGGACGTATTTAAATAATTATATAAAACACAGAGTGGGAAGTGTTTTAATTGAATTTAAAGATGAAAGACAGGAGTTAGTAGTTACTAAAGCGAAACATTCGATTAGATGATTCACTCTCAATTTACTTTCAAAGAAAAATCTAGATATGGAAAAAAATTAACCTATCCCAAAAAATTATTCGCACAGAACGTTATCGTATCGGTTGATCTTTCAAAACGAAATACCTGTGTCGTGTTTGCAACGTTGTTGTAATGGTAACGTTCTTTCCTGTGGTGTCCACCGCGAGCTGCATCATGACTGTCTTAATTTGTGACGTCTATGGATATCGTCATATGCAACGGGATGAAACAGGATTGTTGTAGTTGCATGGTTTCACCGTAAGTGTAGCCAATTAAAACGATTTAATCGCAGCCATTGAAAATTACCGACGCATATTACCAGTAACTCACATTAAAACCTTAAAATTTGAGTTAGGACTGCCTCAGCAAGTCACGGAAAAGTAATTATTTTCGGAACTTGCGATGTTACTCATTTATTAGTGTCTTTTTCTAATGAGCATCATATTTATAGAGTCAAACCCGGATGGCATCGAATTCAAGCTAGTTTTTATATAAGATATGTAAGTCATTAGAAAATTGAACACATATTTAATAATCCGGGCTATTCCCATTGTCTGGTCATTTCTCTCTCGGGTGGTTATCAGACATATTAAGTCGTATTTCAAATCTTGGTGAGACATAACGGATAAAATATTCAGATGCGAAATGACCCTTTTAATACTTTAAAACCCTTGTGTATATTTGTCTCATTTGATGTTATACAGTAAATTGCTCAGTGAATGAGTCGCTACGGGATGATAATCCATTAGGATGAAATCGACCATTTTATATGATTAGACTTGACCCTTGACCTTGCACAACTTCAGAGATGAAAGTGATATTTAACAAAATTATCCTATCCATTTAGTGATACATCAACTAATTTTCAACAGCAACGAGGGAAATGAGCAATAAAGTAAATGATATCTACATAAACACATACTGTCAAAAGCATTTTCACAATATTATAGAACAATTTGACAGATTAGAAGTTGAATACATGTAGGAATTCACCTTTACGACTGACAACGGGGATTCCATAATACTAGATGGAATATGTTCAGTCAGCAAAATGATACGTGTTCCGAACTGCACATTATGACCTAAAAAGTTAAAACCAAATTTTGCGAAACGTCCACCATATAATACTTCTTCGTTCTCCATCTTAATTTTCTGAATCAAGGCAGAAAAACAACGTAAACTTTTAATTAACATTGGCGTATGTAGGTGGTAATTTCTGGGCCATTCCCTCCCCTGGGTCCATAAAAAATGAAATATTTATTCTACTTCCACTTCCAAAATTGCGTAAGATGTATTCTCCGACTTCCCACATTTTCAATTTGCCAGGGAGAGGTCCCCCACCATAACTAGTGCACTCTAAAATCCGCAAAGAATATCAGAGCGCTGGAATACCTCCTTCCCCGTCAATTAAATCCTTGCTTCGCCACTATTCATAAAAGCAGACATCAATTGATCATGCTGTATGTAAAATGATTTTAAGTTCGTGCGAATTTTCAAAAAGTACATAAATCAGTTTCGAAATAAATATGTTATTTGATAGATGCAATATATCGAATTTGAATGTACACGTTATTCGTAGTATCCATAGTGCTGAGCTTTAAGACATACAACAACAATTTCAATTAATTTAAATAGAAAGATTTAATCAATTAAGCATGCGCACGTTCAAATTTAAATCGTTTTCTCTAATGACAATATGGCATCTGGTTGAACACAAAACATCAGCTCGTACAGAACGTGACAGTTGGTGCAATTTCAATGTATTGATATTTTGGTTTGAAATCAGAAGGTCAACAGTTAGAGATTATAAACTAAGACAATACAAGATCAATACAGTATTGACAAATATGAAATTAAGTGGTTCCGCATTTCAAAAGAAGGAATTGAAGATGTTGATAGGATTCAGCTGCATCATTGATCTGTTCTACTTTACTAGTTCACATTGTCATCTAAACATCAATACATCGGCCATCATATTGATTCTAAATTTACCCCATTTCATATAAAGCAAAAGCTGACGCCATTAGCCACAGTATATTAAAATATTGATTATATTTTGGTGTATTCCATATGACAAGAACACATTATGAAAGAAGAACAGTGCTTCATCAAATTCTTCGTTTAGTGGATGCATCAGATTTGAACGATGACGTTAATCAATACAAATTGTGGTTCTTTTCTGCTTACTTTTTCTAGCTATTGGTGAACAGCCAAGGTTTGAAAGGTTGTTCTCCTGTCTCTTCTTTTCGATGCCATGTTGTAGAATTTTCCAAATTGAAATTGCGTTTCAACTCCTATTTGTTTGCTCGAGATTTAACTTATGAATGCGTGCATTATCTTGTTTCAAAGTGGAAAATTATTCCAGGACAGTTCCATCAGTCACTAATTTTTCAATTTCCAATTTTAAAGGGATCTTTTACGTCCAGGCACATGAAACACATGTCCTAGTATTTCAATTTTAGACTAACGACCATTTATCAATGGCAACACCCATCTAGCTCGCATCACTGCCACCCCTATCCTTTAGAGCAAACGTCTTAGTGGTTGAGTCAGCCTCTTACGTGGAGTTTCAATGAATCACTCGATCACATTAGATATGCACCTGTACCGCTGAATATACAAGATATTATTAATCAATAAGAAATAATCGTTAAAACTTAAACTTCATTAAAAATACGATAAATCCGACATTTGATATAAAAAGTTTATAATATTGCAGTAAAACCATTGATTTTCGTTACAATTTCTTTATGCTGTGATAACAGCATTTAAGGGCGTTCCATTTTTATGCTCTGTTTCTTACAGTTGATCGATGTATGCAAGGTGTTCGAATTTTCATTTAAAAAAGCAGTGACATATGTTCCGTTCCAGCTGAAATGAAATGAAATTTAAAATCAAGTTAGCCTTAAAATAAATAATAAACTAGAAGGAAGACTTCTGGATAATAAAGAATTCTATGTAGATTTTTTTTACCAGACTACCGATGGGTTGATTGGAACTTGAATAAATTAAGGATGTTGTCTAGTTCATTTAGCACTACTGTCGTTGTTCAACGTGCCAATGAAGTGCCAATCTACCATTTTGGATTTCGAGTTTCGTTTTGGGCTTGAACCTTTGTTTTTTTTATTATTATTCTGGACTACTCATAAGACACTCTCGGCACAAGAGAGTTAGTTTAAGTTCTACAAGATCAAATTTGTTTCTCAATCGGCAAGACGTTTTAAAGTCAATGTTATAGTTAATAGCTAATTAAACAATTTCTTTTACTGATCACCATTACTTCAAGCCAATGTATGCCCAGATGGCACAATTGTCGTCATCTTCTTCACCACAATTGAAGCTCACGCGATCTATATATTGCAATTATGGATTGCCATTACAATGTAGTGCATTACCAAACCAAGTATTTGCATTTTTATTTCCCAGAATCGATGAGGTGAGTGCATTATGACCTTTACGAATTCCCTTAGAAAGGTTAATAACGCGTTTTCTGCATGAACTGTCGCAGACTGAAACTAACACCTTTCTTTGTCAATTATTGATCACCTGATTGTATTAACTGTTCTAATTGGTCGCGACATAATGACCAATAGAATTAACTTTTTCATCCACGCATGGCACAACACTGTGTTGATTTTGCCATTGTGTCTTTGTAATGCGACTGTTTATTTCTGCTTTAGTTACTGGTATTCACAGTACATCTTTAATGGACTTCCATCTAAAATAAATGATGAACAAACATACAATTTGATGAACTTGTCATTAACCTCTAATGTGCATAAACAAAGATGGCGTCTAATGACAATTTGAAATACTATGACAATTTGAAATACTTTGACAATTTGAAATACTATGACAATTTGAAATACTGTTACAATTTGAAATACTATGACAATTTGAAATACTATGACAATTTGAAATATTTTGACAATTTGAAATAATGTGACAAATTTAAAAACTATGACAATTTGAAATACTATGACAATTTGAAATACTTTGACAATTTGAAATACTATGACAATTTGAAATACTTTGACAATTTGAAATACTATGACAATTTGAAATACTATGACAATTTGAAATACTATGACAATTTGAAGTACTATGACAATTTGAAATAATGTGACAATTTGAAATACTATGACAATTTGAAATACTATGACAATTTGAAATACTGTGACAATTTGAAATACTTTGACAATTTGAAATACTTTGACAATTTGAAACACTATGACAATTTGAAATACTATGACAATTTGAAATACTTTGACAATTTGAAATACTTTGACAATTTGAAATACTATGACAATTTGAAATACTGTGACAATTTGAAATACTTTGACAATTTGTAATACTTTGACAATTTGAAATACTATGACAATTTGAAATACTGTGACAATTTGAAATACTTTGACAATTTGAAATACTTTGACAATTTGTAATACTCTGACAAATTGAAATACTATGACAATTTGTAATACTTTGACAATTTGAAATACTATGACAATTTGAAATACTGTGACAATTTGAAATACTGTGACAATTTGCTAACGCACCATGATAAATGCCTGCAGTTTCAGAGAAAAAGATTTATAGGACAATCATGGATTTATAATAAAAAAAAATTCAACCAATATACATGTCCTTTCCCATCGTAATGTAAGCTTGCAAAGTGGCATTGTAAAAGTATTTGAAGAACTTCAAATTTCAACGTTAAAAACGGCTTGAAGTCGTAGATCCTACTAGAAAAATATTATATTATTTTGAAGTTCTAATTATAAATCACTCGATTCCAAGACGTATTTATTGCCTGTCCTGTTCGAAGGTCTATAATTGCTGTATGTGGACTGCAGGATGTTAATGAAATGTTTAGATATAAACTGCTATGATATTTTGTAGCAGTATAATATTTACCACTGAAGGTGTTGCTGTGGGCTTGTTCCCTGTAATCCAAAAAAAGCCCAAGCTCATTTGATCTGTTTTCGCCTTAATTCAGTCCAGAAATGAGACAGAAAAATATAGCATAGCAAACGTTTAAACCAACTTGCTTTGATTGTCGATTTAAGAAACTAGAGTTATATCCCTTACTATAGGTAAAATCTCTTTAATATATTGTATACCGTATACGAACAGTCTGCTTACTTTAACCCTGTACCAGTGCTTTCCTTTGAAAATTAGTAATTAGAAATTTGATCATACTTTGTATTATACATAGAGCGACTTCGTGCATGTTTTCTTTTTGTGGAATTCACTGCTTCCTTGCAGTTTTAAGTCTTTTTTTAGTCTTCTACATATTTGCTTAACTAGCTGAAATTGATCAATTTCAGGTACCCTTTCAGGCAGTTTGCCTACGACTCTAAACTTTGCTTTTAGGAGAATCTCAAGATAAGTCAAACCGGACTCGCTTCCGATTTCTTCCAAACGGAAAACCATTAAGTGACTAATATCTTATGGTGCTCGTAGTAAATTCTAATCTTTTTACGATTTGTTTTTGTAAAAATGTAGGGGAAACTTAAATAAGATAGTAATTCTTAAAACGGATATGGATGGCTGAAATCGAGCTTTGTCAACAATAATTATATTTAGTTTATATAGTATATATTGTATTGCATTTATCAAAAAAAAATCTTATCTTAAGAAATTTTTCATTCCAATAATTTTGATTCAAATAAACACGCCCAATATAATACGTACTGATCCAACGTCAAGAAATCTATCGTATATTGAAGCCATAGTTCATATGCGTTAATCCTATACGGTTGGGGACAGAAGAAAACAAAAAACTCATCATCATACGTTCAATAAACAACACTATTATACACATATATAAAACTCTTCACCATTTCCCCAAAGCTATAAGTTAGTCTGGAATAAGGAAAGGATGAAGACATAAAATCTTACTCAATACAATGATAAAAATCACCTATTAAATTTAATGTTTGAATCCCATTATACCGTAAATAGCCTCAGACTATAGCTTTATTTATACCTTAACGTAAGTTAAAATTTTGCAATTAAAATAGTCTTGCGTCAATATTTTCAAAATGCCATTGTATTTTTGTAATTTTGGGTACAATCAACGGGAACTTGATCGAACTTCAGACATGTGGACCAGACGGGTTGATCAGTCTGCGCATTTCCTAACAAAAAAGGATTTACTCTTTCATCACACTGAAGTTATTCTTCATTAATATTTCGGAAATATATGTCCTTTAAACTTTAGATATGAACTTTGTAATCTCTTTGTTCCACAGTCATTACCAACATAGTTTTAATATGAATAATTTGACCACAGTTTTTAGATGAAAAGCCACTCAATATACGTTCAGATCAATTATTCCACAATAGAATCAACCATATGGAACAGAGTGGTCAGCATCAGGTACCGTTCCGCTATACCAGTTATTTCTTTCATTATTCCAGCAGTCTGATTCCGATTTGAAAATGATACTATGGACAGGGTCGGATTACGTTTTCAAAAAGCAAGATGTTGTGATCTTCCTTAATTCCTGTCTTATAATTGCGAATGGTTGTAGTGTTCATCCAGTGAGATGCTTTAATCTGTAGTCGATCTTATCCTGAAGTAATCTGTTTTCAGAAAGATGATCCCAGCAATGTAATGTAATATTTTCAGATTATGAAGATATACCTCGTTGTTAATGCTTCAAATGAATGAAATGGAAATCCATATGACATATATTTAGATAAATTGTATGTCTACATTGCTTTTAAATTCCTATTAAATATTCAATTTTAACACTTTAATACTTACAATTCAACAATAGTTCTTGTAAACAGACGCACTACACATAAATCATTGTTTCTGGAAATAAAATTAATTGTTACCATGACAACATGAACTAACAGATTTAGGCGATTTCCCGAAGATTAAGATAAAGGTCTTGTGAATTTGGCTTATTTAATTATTTATGTTGAAGAGTTTTACAAGTCGTTAATATGTTTATATCTCCATCTCTCGAGTAATTCCTTTTATATATTCAAGTTTAAAACAATGGAAATGTATACATTTATTTTCACTTTATTACCCCGAGGACGACATTTTCTGATCTTAACTTCTGAAGACTAATGCATTATTTATTATTAATATTTTACCACCAAGAATCTTGACCAGAATATCTTTATTTGTCCTGGGACGTTCTGTCTTAATTTTTGCTTTACTTATAAGGGGCTCCGGGATATTTCTCGGGAGTCACCGAATCAAGCTTTTCAAATCGACGAACCCCAAACTGAAGATGGTGTTATTGCTTCAAAGAAAGGATCGGTTCTAAGGTTAAGTGGTCTTGTGAATGTGCTAACTTGAAGACGTTGAGTTAATAGTCAAATCTCTTTTTGATATGCTCGAACTCTGGCATTCCTGGTCATAGTGAGAATTCAGATGATCGGCACTGACCTAGTGTTAGTTTCGGGTTTAAACATATGGAATGGTCAACAGCTTCACACAAATGTTTAAGTCCGTTGTCGCAATTTGTAGTCTTGGATGTATGCAATTCTTTTCTCTCAATATTGGGAACCTTGCACTGGTTATGACAATTGTACCAATCCTGTACCACAATTTACCAAAATTTTCTACATGTAATACAAAAACACGAACTACATAATAGCTTGACATTGTTAAGATGAGTTACCAGAGGAAGCGATTTGAACTGAAAACTAAAATAAAAAATACATTTCCTTCTCGCCTTGAATAAGTGTATTTTAACAAGATCTCTGAATACGGTCTGCAAATAAGCATATTATGTAGACAATAAACGACCACTCGTGAAGTAGTCTGTGTTCAAGTAAGTAATTGTTTAAAGGCTATGTTATAGACTTAGCTAATTGGAAAATATTCACGAGGGAATTCTTTTAAAAGGATTTTAAAAATTTCGAACTAGCATTAAGAAATATTCCAATTGGTTGGACTTTATGAATGTATGACATAAAGCCAATAATGTCGATCATATCAAACGTATGATTGAGGTGACAATATAATGTATTTTTTAAGTATAACTGAATATTTCAGTTCTATAATTTGATCTGTGGTATATTATACTAGTCTTGAAAGGTTATCTAATTACATCTTGCATTGATTCGTGTTTTAATATTAGAGTATGCCAACAACAACATTATATCAGATATCTCCAGAAATCCTGCATCTGCTGTGCGATGTTCCATTTCTGGACTAGCTACCACTGGATTATGTTCCAAAGCAATAACCGCGAGACTTTCCCTTTCTTACGTTGAGGAGGATTCATCCCTGCGGAAACTAATCGTTGATGTGAGGACCATATTATAAACAAAGGGAGTTTGGTACAAGTTATAAGAAAATTTTTAGTCAGGTGACGACATTATATCCCTTACAGTGTACTAGTGCCAAATATTGCTTATCATAATTTCAGGAAATTTTAAAATTAGAACAGTTCTTTAGACCGACTTTTATGCTGTATTTAAATTCATCTAAATGAAAAATAGACTTAAAAGCTTTCCATTCAATTTCTTCTGACATACCATTATACCTGATTACGAGATTTTTATCCCGGGGGAATTGACCAGACCACATATTTCTCAAGATCTTCAGTCTTAACTTGATGCTGTGAAATTGGTCAGGAAATTATTTTCGCCTATCAAAATGAATCGATAATATACCATCAAAACTAACTTATGTCACATTTCACTGAGTCAAACTTAACCTTTTCTATATTTTACAAGCCCCAAGAGTTCCATGTGTTGAAACCATTAGGAAAAGACGAAGTGATGGTTTGGAAATAAACCAGAGCTTAATTCCATCTGATAAGGAACATTTACAGGATAGAAATGGTCTCAGAGATTTTGTCTGCAGGAAGCACTGATTTCTCAACTCTGATGTAAGTACTATTTTACTTTGCTTACAAAATTTAGTGAAATTTGCTTTACAAAACTTATAAATGAGGTTAAAAGTCAAAATGGTCAGTATAAAAAGTGCTGCTAGTAAACATCCGAGCATTAATTTCGACATTTTTCTTTTAGCGCAAAGCTCAAAATGTATATGGCTAAATTTCTTGATACTGCTTGTAAGCTGCAGACTCCGAGCTGTATTTCACGCTTACATGAAAATGTGAACTTTATTTTCGTTACATTCCGATATTAAATATATGTACTTGTAAATAGATTTCAGTTTTGAACTTGACCGAATTTGATTTTCATGGGATACCAGCTGTACAAAAAGAAAAACGGAAAATATGACTAAGAAACGTATTCTTTAATAAATGGGGTTTCCTTATTATTGCAAAGCAAATTTGAGTTTGCTGAGAGGTTAATCAAGTTCTAATTATTAACTTAGTTGCACCATTTTCTTTATTTCTGATATGTTAAT